CTTTTATAATGCGTATAGTAGGCCGATTTTTTAATTGACGGACATTTAAAAAGTTGCGAGAGACGTTTACGTATCATGGTTCGCTCGTACGACGGAGAGAATGTTGCTACGATGGAGAACGTGACGGACAGACGCGTGGTGCTTTTTAAACGGGTGTAAACGGTCTTCTTATAGATATGCACGCGGATAGCGTAACGCGTGTCACGCGTCTAATCACGACGTGTACATGCGCAGAAACGATTTGCAACTTTATTAAGCCAAGTGAGGCACCGCTCCGTCCTGCTAAACCGCCGCTGCTTGCTTTCCACGTGCGCGGATTGATTAATGCCCGTTTCCATGCTGCGTACCTCTCCCGGCTTCTTCTCTTTCTCTCTTTTTTTCTCTATCTCTCTCGCGCGACTCAGCCTCCCTTTCGCGAATCTCTCTCTAACGGCTCGCAACGGTGGTCCGTTGCATTATCCGTGGCTCCGAACAGAGCGTAGCATTGATGGATATTGCGGTTGCTTCTGGTGTATTGTGTAACGGCGTGCGGCCGCTTCGCTTCCGATAGGTTTCCCCCGTATTTGTACGGCTATTTAATTAATGACGGCCGACCCCTTGCGTATTTTTCGATAATTATCGGAACGTCGCGTCGCGGCGCGGCGCGGCGCGGCGCGTATCGCGTTCGCGGGAACATGGCTGGCTTGGCTTGGCTTGGCTTGGCTTGACTTGGCTTGGCTTGGCTTAACTTGGCTTGGCTGTATGGGCGGTCGACAGACACGCTCGAGAAAATATCGTCGAGAGTTGCCCCATGCCAGGCGGTTCTTAATATTTCGTAACATACATGTACTACTTTCTTAATCCTCGTCGAATCTTTGGATACGTAAAGTACGCAGTGGTTTTGCGTTGCGAATTATTAATTTAGTATGTTTGAATATAGCAATTTTCGATTTGTTACATTCTAATCAAAGAAATTTTAATGCAAGCAATGCAAGCAATGTTTAAATGTCCACTGTTAAATTTATAGTGTCAAAAATCTAATTTAAGTCGCTATTGCGCTTACTCATTATATCGTTATTTTATACTAAAACAATGGTTAAATTTGACTATATAGTTTCAAATTAACAGCGACTTAAATTAGATTCAATTTGACACTACAGATAGTGTCATCTCCTACATCTTATGAGAAAATATTATTATGAAAATAGCTTTTTATCTAAGGCATGTGTGTTTGAGTAATAAATCATCTGTAATAGATAAAAGGGGGTGCGTACGCAAAACGGTGGGAAATTCGGAAGCTGACTAAACAAGTAAACGCGTTGTAAGCGTGTGCATGAGACGAATTTGACATGCGTCTGGGTTAATTTGAAATTCGACACGCGTAATGTAATGGGGAACTGAGAGACTTGATCAATATTCTAGGGAGTTACGGACCCTTTCACGTACTAAATACGCTTAACTGCGTCAAAATTTAATCCACTGTCGCATTTAGCCAGTTCATTTTAGCATTATTCCCAGGAATCGTTTCACAATATATATCTATATAAAATTAAGGTACAATTTGATATCTTGATCTCGATTTTTTATTATTGTTATATTTTTTATATTTCCAAAATTATATTATACTTTATTAATACTTTTTATGATTTTGAATTTCATGTCGAATATTATGTAAGGAATCATACATGTGCGAATTTAATTATATATAAGTTTAAAAACCTTTATTTTCTGTTTTTATTAAATTCGACATAAATTTTTAGAAAATTTAATCATGTAATTTTTATTTATATTACTTTTGTTTTATTCACTATTCTGAAATCCCTTTAGTATACTTTTGAAATTCCACAAGATTCTTCCTTAATCCATTGATAGCATATTATTTCGTCCTCTTTGCGTTACCCTCAATCTCTACGTCAAAAAATATTTTTGTCTAAAACTCCATATAGCTTTGTAGCTATGAAATGAGATTCCGTCGATCAAAATGCAAATTACTGTCCGCGATGAGCTCACGAGCAGTGGCGTTATTATACAAGATATAAGGCGGACTACTAAACAAAGGGACTAATCAAGACCCTACCTCAATGTGAAAGCACGATTCTAATTTCATGGGTGGAATGTTTTGCCTTCATCACGTTAGCTCAAGTGCATACAAAAACTGGGGAACGAATATCTTCGCATTTTCTGACACAGTGCTCGACATAGTACAATAAGATGCGTCTTAGTTATCAAGTTCATTAATTTTTGGTCCTTTTTTCTCTTATGCTTTTGCATTAGGTATATGCATCGCTTATACGATAACATGTACCACATGAGAAACAAGATGCATATAAGAAGAATTTGTTGCTTTCGAATTTATTATGGATATCTATTAATATATTAAATCTATTAATTTTTTAGTGAATTGTAGAAGTTTTAATAAAAATAATTAAAATTATATTTTTAAGTAGTTACTTTTATTATCTATTATGTGAATATATATATATATATATATATTTTTTTTTTAACACTTTCATGCTATTGATAAATCGTGCACATCTATAAAATTTTTGAACAATTTGTAGATTCATGGAAGCAGATATTTCATAAAGTTCTATTGTAGTAGTCTCTCGCGTTTTGTGGATTCTCTTCTCTCAGAAAAGAAAAAAGTTAAACTCTTCCCTCGTAGACCACTTCGCATTAGCACTTAAGCATGTGAATAGGTCACAGTAAATCACGGTTTGTCTATTCACACGAGTAAATACATTAATAAACAACGTGTGCCCATAAGGTAGACGATTAAAACCACTGCCACGTGAATCGGTTAATTTATATGCGGATCCAAACTATATGTCCGTTTTCATCCCTACGAATCCCCTGCGGGAAATGCGCGCCTCCCCTAACGAGTCCTTTATGCACAGTGCCGCCTTACCCTTTCCCATAAATTTTGGGTGGTCAAATATTGGTACTGACTCGTGTCGAGTCTGTTATTATGATCGGCACACCCTGTGGGATGGCACTACGTGACAGAACAAGAATTATTGACAGTACTTTCCGAAGTAATTATAACTCAGATAGTAATTTTTTAAATTTATGACATACCAACGTGAATAATCGTATATAATATCTAATATTTGTTATTAGATTAGATGAATCATTAAGTTTTGTTTTTAAAACATCTTTCAAAGATATTCCTTGTTATTATCTGATCTAAATTTCACGATATCTAAATTTTGTATACAAATTATTATATTTATGATAAATTTTTCATGTTAAAAATGATGTATAAATTATTGTATAGAATATCTCAGAAAATCCATTGTTCATTTATAGATTGTTCAACCAATTTTAAGCGAATGCTTTTTGGAACTCCATTTTTTTGACAATTTTGTAATTTTTAATATTAATTATCTAAATAAATGAGCTTCAGCAACTTAAAATTTTGCCGAAGTAAATTCTACTTGAATTTAAATAAAGAACATTATTTATGAGAGCACGCAGTCGTAATCTGTATATTGTAGTCACACTTTTTGTACTACTCGCACATACTTGCCACATCCGGTTTCGCTCTCGATCACCCAGATCCCACGTGAAACCCTTGGCGGCGGTGTACATTTCTCCGAAAAGACAAGTCTCGTGCGCTTTCAACACTGCCGATTGCGTTGTGGTCGACCATCCGCACTATGAGGGCGGAAATACGTGGGCGATCAGGCACACGTATAATGGTTACATCGCGCGGTCTTCCCCCGTTTCTCGCATACCCTCGCTAAACCTCAATGTTTATGCACTTCGAGGCGGTGATGCGGCTCGATATAATGCACCCACATCGGACGCAAGACGACACAGCCACGTTGGTATTCGAATCTCGGTGGGAAAGCGATGCCAGAGAGATTACGCAAATGGTGCAATATCAATGTTTCGCAAAAGAGACTGCTTTTATCGGAGGTATGCGGAGACTGGTCGCTTAAATTGGTATTTTGTTGGAAACTTGTATTTATTTATGGAGATCTAGGTTGAGGCGATATTTTGTGTCGATTTTAGTGTATTATCGGGGATTTAGGAGACTTGGAAAGTCTTAAGAAAATGTTTTGCACTTTTAACAACTGGAAATTTGGGTAATTAAATATATAAATGTATTGATACGTATATAATATTAGATAAGTATTATTATAGAAGACGATAACTATTTTTAGAAAATTTACGGAAGGAAAGAGATTTTACTCTTTTACTCTACTTAATAAAATAATTAATTTAAAAATTAATTTAATGTTGAAATAAAGTGTAAAATAATTTTTCGAAAAAAGATGAGAGAGGGGAATTTTTTAAAAATAAAGCATAATCAAAGCATCCATTCAGACATTGCTAGCCCTTATAATAAATTATTACTACGTTCTACCACGATAATGTTTAAAAGCCATTGGTTTATTTCATGCTTCTGTTTACCTTGACAAGTTAAGGGTATCAATGGAAGCACTATATGCAGCTGATACGATTTTGCACAGATGCGCTTCAGGAATAATGTTCTAAACTGGTATTGGTTTAAGCGATGTGCTCGGGAGGAATATTGACGTTTCTCTCCCGTGGGTGTTGCTGCACCCCTAGCCAGAGATTCTGCCAGCTTTTGTCACAGAATCCAAATCACGTTCCCCTTGTTTACCCTCACGTCGAGGGGGATAACTGTCAGTAACAGATTTTGCGTGTGGCCACCGTAATTTCGTGAATGGATCCGCGAAACTGATCGATTTTTTCCGTCTCGATTGCTTCCGGTATCCGGACATGTGTTGAAAACGTGTGATCAATGTTGCGATGCGTAATCCACAAAATAAGCCATGACGATTTTTGCATTGCATTTGTGAAAGATTCTTGATTAAAAGAAATTTCTCATTATTATATTATTTTTATAATTGTTTCACACACAATATATATCACTTTTCATAGATGTTTCGCTGTGTCTTGTACGTGCGACAAAAATTAATTGTATAACGCGCAATAATTTGAAATTAGCTTTCATATAAAAATCACCGAATTGTTTTATTGCGTTACAGAATCGTGGGGACTTCGCTTCTCTGGTCCGGAATTTGCTCGGTCCAATTTACGGCGACAGTGTTATGAATTTACTGATAAGACAAGCACGGGATATCCTAGTTTGCGCTTATCACGGCAACTTGGAGAACTTCGTCCGGACTTATCTCTCACCTGCTGCAGTCCTTCTAGCGGAAGTCAAGAATGTCGCCTCCGAAACGGTAAGTTTCTTTACAAAGTGATGATTATGCCATTAGCGTATTATCCTGAAATGATACGATAAAAGTGCAATTAAAGAAAGCTGCTTACAGATAGGTAATTCCGCGAAGTAATTAAAGTAATCAGGCGTATGCTCTCCATGTACGGTTCGATATATGGAATCCTGTTCGCGGGTATGATTACAAAAATTTCAGTTACTCTTTGTTTTTTAAAATGCCACGGGTATCGCAAGTCATAAAATTACATCGAGTATAGTCTATCAGTCGTACAATTTTGCTTACAGTATATTTTATCTAGTTGAATTATAGTTAAAAATTATTCAAATATATAGTTGTAACATTTATAATTAACGTTTTTAGTTGTAATGCTTTTCTAATTAAATTAACACACATAAATTTGAGTATGGGCTATTTGGGATAGTGTTAATGTGTTTAAATTTTACACAAATTTTCCAACGGTGTAGATAATTATTTAAATTCAAGGAATAGAGTATATTGTTGAAATTTTCAATCAATTTGTTTAATAGATTTTATACTGTGCTGTGAAATTTAAATCATTTGAAAAATTATCCTTTTAATTGCCTTAACCCTTTTCGAGGAATCTTAATTAATGCACTCGTGTGTCTCTCATGGATTTGGGATATCGGTTGGGTGCGTCCGCGAATGCTCTCTCGAGATATTATGTACCCTCACAATTCGCAATTAAACACGTGTTAGGCCACGTGCTCTGACCCGATTTCTTTTACTCTCTTGTGGGTAAAGGGTTGCTGGTAATTCACGAGAACAGATATTAAAGGCGGGGTTGTTTCTTCGTTATGTCGCTTTGAGGGTTGGCCCACCGACAGTTGCTTCAGCCATCAGCTTACGACAGTTTACGACAGTTTAATTGAACTCGTCGTCATTAGCACGGAATTGCTACTCAAAGTGTGCGGTTCGTTCTATTGCGATAAGATAATGTAACAAGAACGACGCCGTAATTTGCATAACAATACGGCTAATGCATACAACGTCCAAATTAATTCAAGGAGTAGGTATTCAAGAAGAATAAATACGCAAATTTCCGATAGTGATATGTGAGTATTTCCTCTAAAATTTCTCTAATATGTATTAAAAAAATGTGATTTTGAAATATTTTATAGTTTCGCTGAAGAGTATGAATAGATTACAATCTTTTTTTCTCTTTCGTTTACATTAACAAATTTACAAAATTTATCGACGAAACATAGTCTACAGCGAACGCTCAAGAGATAAGAAAGTAATGTAAGAGTGGATTGTACAAGATTTAAAATCTGCAAACCGCTCGATCGGCTGCTCTTTTATTACACTTCTTTTACTTGCACAGTTGGACAATAAGTATCGTTAGACTATATATGTTATCATATTGAATTATCGTTAGACTATATTACGATAGAGCATGTGCACAGAGAGAACGATTTTGCTGAAGTATCTCAAAATTTAGTTAGATACAGATTTGGAAATTATTTTGTTACATCAAATATAATTACGTAGGAATGTTAAGCATGATAGGCAATACTGCAAAAAGTTTCGATATTCTAGCAACAAGTTTAAGCGTTCTGGATAATTATTTTGATAGTCCAACAAAATTATTATATAAAGCTAGTTAAATTTTTAAATACTTCAGTAAAATCGAAAAATCTTTCTGCTCTTGCAGGTAGTTGCTTCTTAAGCAAGATTTTTTGCTTGGGATGCACACCTACATTGTCGGTCTAGTATCTTTACTATGAGATCCCACCCACGTACGCTTCACGAATACTTACATCTTGTATCTCGCCCGGCTGTCTTCTTCTCCTCACCCATATCACTTTTTTTCCTTATTCGTTTGCGCTTTATCATCCTGCGCTGAAAGAAAATGTGCCATGGAGAGGCACTTCGCCCGTTAACTGTTACGTACGCGAACGGTCGGGCTCATAAAATCTATTTACTTGGATCAAACATCCTTTGCGTTCTCGTACCCCAGTCTCCGATTTTACTTATCCTACTTATCAATGTCTCTGGTTACGAGCAGAGCAATCTTAGCGAGCGACATTGTTGTATGTCGCATGTCTTTTTCGCCGTCAGTATATCTACGTTTATAAGTGATGACAAACATCGTCTAATCTCGTAAAACGATAGAATCTCGTACTTGAAATATTTCTATCTCCTACTATATGTCTTCTGTATCTAACAATATATATCTCTTACATCTCACAATATATCTTCTGTATATAATATTATTTGATGACTGTGTATTTGCACGAGGACTCTTTGCTGGATTAATATGACGAAGGATTGTCGAACTTGTAATTAGAATATCCTAATATCCTTATACGTTATAAATGACAGTTTTAATTATAGGAAATATTTGTAATAATTTTTTTTAAAACAGCAAAAAGCAATTTCTTTTTTTTTTTTTGCGAACTTAAAACAGTGTACACAATGACACTAATGATGTCAGCGATGTGCCCTCGCAAATATTCGCGAAGAACGGGACTGCGTGGCGACGTAGGAATGTTGTCAAAGAATGGTATAGGTGTATCCTATGAGACGATGATAGCACGAAGACACCATAACGGTGCTCTGTCCGAATCGATTGACAATGATTGAAGGCTGTGGGCCTCGACTTACAACCGTTCGGACCAGAGTCTCAACCTTCGTGTAAACCACCAATATATATCTCCGCCATGTTATCCGTTGATCTCCTTCTGCCTTAATCTCGCGAATGTATGAGCTCGGCGCCGCCAACAGAAACGGGAAACGCCGGCCCACGCGTATCCTATCGCGCGGCAACACGATTTCACGATCGTTTCGAACGCGATGATGCTACCTCCCATGGCGCTTCCGCTTCTCTACATCGAATTTTTCGAATGTATTTCAAGCTTAGATACCTTTGCGCCACAATATCATATCACGTGAATTTCGCCTTCGCTTTTCATTGAGATGCTTTTAGCTTTTATTCAGTAAAACTATACTTTTACTTTGAGTTGAATAAAAAATTTGAATCATCAATATATATAAGTGTCATATTTTGATTTGATAAAAATCATAGCAATTTTCAAAAGTTTTTACGCAAATCTTGTTTATTTCGTAATTTATTTTTCTTGCGTTGATTTTTTATTATAAAACCTTTGACATTTAGGCTGATGCTATTATTGCTAAAATTATCCCAAGATTTATAAAAAAGATATAATATTTTTCATCATTTATCATTTGTTCTCTCTGTTTCTCTTTTTTTTCTTTTTATACTACTAAATAATATAAGTAAATTATTAATTATTTTTTTCTTTTAAATTTTATATTAAAAATTATTATATAATTTTAATGATTAAAGCTATCATACTTTTCATAAAATGTTAATGCGCAAAAATATTATATAATACATTTCTTTCTTTGAATATCAGAACGCGTATTATTTCTTCAGACAGTTGGTTATTACTTGTTATGAAAAATTATATAAAATTACATAGAAATATAATTTTCCGAAGAAAAAGATAGTGAATTAAAACGAAAAAATAATAGCTAATCAATAATACTATCTCGTTTTTTATTCGGCTAGCGAGACGTGTATCATTCGTTCAGGTTGACGATTCCGATTAAAAGCCACATAATTATTCGGTAATTTACGTAATAATTATGAGAGTAATGAAATGCCTACTTACACAGGGTGGACACTCTTTTGCATAAGCCAGGAAGGCAGCGGATTGCATAATTATTTGCTGCCTCCGGCGTTGATCCGTGCAAAAAGTGAGACGAATTTGTAATGATATCCTTGGTCACATCGTCGAATTGCCGAGCGGATCCGGCGAACGGCGGCAGTGCTGTGCATATCCTACTATGTGTACATGCACGAAACAGTAACGGGCTATAAAATACGTAACTACGCGTCGCGTCGCTTCGATTGCAGATTGCGATAAGATTGCCTCTGCTGATTGTCATCGCGAAGGTAGCGGCGAAGATAGTAACGACAACGCAGTGGTAGCATTCGGGAAGCGGAAGATACATTGCTCGACAACTTGTTTCCGTAAATCGCATTCTACGCTTTGTATTAATTTTATATACGCTTCGCGTTCTGACTTAAAGCGTATCTCTGTAGATTTGATCTTTAATTTGATTTTACGATTTGACGAATTGCGTAAGTGTAGTTGTAAAAATTGACCCACATTGGATCACAGAGAGTCGATACGAGGAGAATATGGATTGTGATTGATTAATTCTTACAACTGCAATTACTTACAATTCACGCTTAATTAAAGAATAGGTTTAGAATGTTGTATCATCTACTCAAGACATTTTCAACAATGCGATGATAAAGATAATACAAATAATACAATTGTATGAGTAATATAATTTCATTGACTTGCGATGACAACTGCAGATATGTTTAGAAATGACATAAAGATATACATTTCTCAAGAATGAAAAAAAGTGTATACAATAATTCATGATCATATTTTGTGACATTGGATGTTCCGCCTTGAAGATATCGACGTCGCCGTTGTATTCTTTCCTCGGCTTTCCTCGGCAAGAAAGCGACGCGGAGAAATCTCAAGGATCGAAGCACTTGTACTTTAGGAAGATTGGAACGAAGATTGAGCGGTTTCTTGCGCTTCCCGGGGAGCGCGCGCGCTCGCGCGTAGGATAGAACCGCCCGAGGAACGGTTCCGTGATGTTCCATGTCCGGGCGGCTAATAAATTAGCCTCATAAAACTACGGGCGCCGCAAAAACCATGCGGCTACTTCGTAAGCTCATAGAGCCGCGTCGAGAAATCCGCCTTGGACAAACCGCACGCGAGTTATCCGTAGTCTCTCGGCGGTCCTCTTGAAGGTACGATTTAATTGGTAGTCGGCCTCGTCGTGCCTTTCACCTCCAGCGCATCCTTCAGCTGTGAATTGCGCTTCTTAAGCGGGAAGAATATTATATCCGTTCAATTCGGTATAGCTCCGTTTATAGGGAATTTATCTATACCAGTAGAACTGTTAATTGCACCATCATTTCCAATTTAATC